GGAAGATGTAAAAAATCTTTACATATCTGGGCAGCATCATTGATGAACAGGGTGGATCTGATGCAGATGTGAAGGCGCGGATTGGCAAAGCAAGAGCAGCATATTTACAACTGAGAAACATCTGGAAATCAAAGCAACTGTCAACCAACACCAAGGTCAGGATTTTCAATACAAATATCAAGACAGTTCTACTGTATGGGGCAGAAACCTGGAGAACTACGAAATCCATCATCCAGAAAATACAGGTGTTTATTAACAATTGTCTACGCAAAATACTTCAAATGCGTTGGCCGGACACTATTAGCAACAACCTACTGTGGGAGAGAATAAATCAGATCTCAGAGGAGGAAGAAATCAGAAAGAAGCGCTGGAAGTGGATAGGACACACATTGAGGAAAGCACCGAACTGCGTCACAAGACAAGCCCCCACATGGGATCCTCAAGGCCAAAGGAAAAGAGGAAGACCAAAGAACAGATTACGCCGAGAAATGGAAATAGACATGAGAAAAATGAACAAGAATTGGATGGAACTAGAAAAGAATGCCCAGGACAGAGTGGGTTGAAGAATGCTGGTCAGCGGCCTATGCTCCATTGGGAGTAACAGGCGTAAGTAAGTAAGTAAGTAAGTAAGTAAGCATCATTAGACGAATTTAAAATACATGGCATCAAAAGGTTAAGAACATGGAACATTCACACATAATAATAAGGTGTTCTGTAATTTTGTGTTCAAATATAATCGACGGTGCAAACTTGTGTTCTCACTCACAACAATATGAGTTTGGGTCACACGACAAGTATTAGTTTCTTCAAGATTGAGGATCCACTTAAATGACTTGTACCAAACACCATGAAACCTGAATTCACGGTTCTTGCCAAAAGCGTACATACACCTAACACTGTCTAACTCAATCAAATTATCTCCTTAATAAAATCATCTAAAACGATGAATCTGAAATTGTCGAGACAGGGTACACCTGGCGTGCTACCTAAATATTCAACTACCAATGTTTCTTTACAAAAAATCTTTTTCGATTCCGTTGAAAAACACCATATGATATGTCGAGAAATATTCGACCGCACATGGAAGTTTATCACTTCCGCTTAACGAAGATATCCAAGCTAAATCAACATTCCAAACAAACATTCATTTTGTCAACAGTAGAATGTCTTCACAGGAACTTATAGACAAATCTGTCAATATGTTTAATAAATGAGGTTGCCGCTCGCCATATAATGTTTAATGATACAGGATGAAGTCCAGTCAACAATAACTGAATGATATGTGAAAGGACGTAAGTCAAAATCGCTTAGTCAACACACAGTTTCATGTGAACCACAGTCTACGTTAGTAAGAAAACCGAAATCCGATATCAGTTCGCAGACGCTGCATCTTATATGTTTGACAATTTCCTAAAATGCTCTCTTGGTTTAATTATTATTAAACGGTATAGAGACTACAATTAGCATGATCCATCATAGTCTCATCGATCAATATACATGGAACAAAATAACTAGTCGAGTTTCAAAGAATCGGGATTTCGAATGGGTGTTCCATAGATTGATAAACTAAGGACGTGTAAACTAGATGCTTTGATGGAAAAGACCCACAAAACTCATTTGAAATTAGATGGTAATTTCTTGAAGTGTTTATTCATAGTTGAATTGACATAAAAAATATTGGTTTTCACTTCATTGTACTTTTAGAGATATAGTGATCTTTTGTAGAATGATAATGTCACTCATACTTGCTCTGTGTGTGTAGAGGAATACCAACCAAATAGACACAACGTACATTAGAAAGCGATGTTTTTTTATACTAATAAACATTCATATTACATTCGTTATACCATAATAGAGAATATAGAATACCATATTATTTGATCGATGAGATGGATAGCGGTGATTAACGACAACAAAGTATAATCATTGATATTTCTGTAAACAACTGAGGTCAACAGAAGTATAATTTTAATAAGAGAATGGTCAGATAATTTGCACTGAGATTAGAGAATAATAATCTTTACTTTGTAAATGCTATAGGAAGCGACAGAAGTGATAGAACTTGATGTACTGGTATATTCAATCCAGAAAATCGGACAGAATTGACATTTTGTTGAATCCTATTCCTAAATGTACGCCGTTAATATGAGTTTCCCCCATTTTGCGAAGAAAAAGTAAAAGCGATCGAACTAATGACATCTACCTTTTGAAAAATTTCATTTCCAACTGTGTGCAACCATTTTCGTGGTTGTGCTTTGGCGTCTTGTTTTTTTTTTATTACAATTATATCGGTTGACTTTGTCGACGTGGTTACCACTTTAATGGTGAATAAGGTATATGTGCTTATCACAGCAAATACTACCACATAGCACCGTTGTATAAAATAGTACTTTTGTTTGAACGTATATCTGCTTTCGAAAATAACACAGAAGTAGTATGTGATCAAAATGTAGCGAAAATATCTGTACTTTATCTGATGGAGTAAACTGTCATTTGTGGAGTGTGTCTATTTTATGAAAGTGTCATACTCATGGAAAGAAGGAAATACATGACTATCGTAACGTGTTATCATCAGTGATAGTGATAACATGCCATTATGAGCAAAACATTAAACGTACGGAATGTACTTACTTACTTACTTACTTATGCCTAATATCCCGTTCACCTGCACTGTCCATCCAACCCTATCCTGGGAAATCCTTTTCAGTTCTTCGCAGTTGCTATTCATCTATTTCATATCTGCTTCTCTGTTCCCAACGTAGTGTCTTCTTCGACCCTAACTATTTTCACTTGCTTTCAGGATTCCAAGTTGAGGCTTGTCTCGTCATGCAGTTTGTTGATTTCCGTAATATTTGTCCTTTCTATTTCCAACGTCTTCCCCAGATTTCTCCTTCAATTGAAATTTGATTTGTCGTCTTCTACAGTACGCTGTTGCTGATGGGATACGACCATAGGATGTTGAGCATCTTGCAAAAACAACCGTTTATAAATACTTGCAAACTTTTGAAGATCTCTACGTTTTAGTTCCGTATTGTTGAGCTGACTCGACGTTCGCATTCAAAATTCTTACTTTGATATTATTTGACAGTTGTCTCCAGTCCCATAGGATTAAAATAATGAAACCCTAAAATGATAACTGCATTGATGGATGATATTCATTGCTGTACTGCAATTGATGATATTAGTTAAATTAGATTTCAATGTACTTTGTTGTTTGTGTCGTATGCAGAGGGCATCATGTTATTGTTGAGTGTATTAGTAGAACGACCAGAAGAGCAAAATAGTGACTTCGTCGATGAGATTTTAGGAGTCATATTCCTTTTCGGTTTTGAAGCCCAGAATGGTCTGTCTCATTTGAGCGATATGCACGTGACCTCATTTGTTATCAAATCGTAGTAAGGCATGATAAAAATACCAGTACATATCATTGTTCATGACAGACGAGAGAAAATGACTTAGTTGTGAGGAACATGTCTGTATACTTGAGAGACTAGCACTAAACTCTATTTTCTGCTATAGAGTGTGGCGGGAGTAGAATAATAATTACAGTAATCGAATTACGTTTATGAGTAATGTATGGTGCAGCATGCTGTTATACATGTGAACAAATACATGAAATGAACATATTCGTTACTGATCGGCTAGTAATATGGTGTCAAATATCAGATATGTATATAGGCAATAATGAAATGATGATTGAATAGACAGAACATGACTAAAATTCGAGACAGACTGTCGTGTGCGTGTTGCCAGACCACCAATTTACACAGAAGTTTACAGGTTTCTCGGTGAACATGCACCTAACAAATATGTTGAAAACATATGATACGCGATAGCCAAACATATCCACAAAAATGAATGATATAGAATAAGCCATAGATGTGATAAATGATCCATGACGTGAAAAATGTGATCGATCCTGGCGAAAGGTTCATAAGAATTAAAGGCTTCAATAATTGTCAAGAACGAATTCTGAAGTTTATTGAAGCCTTATTTATACGTAAATTTAAACCTCCCTTATATGTACAAAAACAATTTGTCGTAACCTTGAATTTACATTCGTACTCCCTAAGTCATTCTATGGCATGGGATAACGCAAAAATGTCTTATTTTTTCCATACTAAGTAGAATTATTTATTTTCTGTTTGTTACCTTTTTCACTTAAACTTTCATTTAATTTAGGTTTTTTAATTTCGTATAAAATGCGTTGACAAGTATTTGTGACCAGATTGTTCGAAATGTATAGCGCAAACATATCAAATTTCTAGATAGCCTCCGTCTTCTCATTAATCCATCGGGATCTATGAAACGTACTTATTGCTTTAAGCACAATTACTTATAGATAGGAGGTAGAAATTAGCGTCGTGCCCCACGTAAGTGACGAAAAATTAGGTGTTAAAGTTTTTACATCTACCAACTGATTTCCAAGGAGATCAACACAGAAATGGCAATCGTTTCAGTGAGGTGATCGGAATAATCACTGGTTCCGTGTCTATGAGTTTGGTGAAAGTTAAAAACCAGTGCGATGCACAAACACACACACACTGAATGATCACCATTATTTGTGAGTGCACATTGCTGAACCAAAACTATTGACGAGATTTAGCTACTGAATATTAACATTTCTTGGAAGATAACCTCAATGGAATACAGAAAGATCACTGAATGTCTTCAGCTAAGCAGCGTCAGGTTTTGTATGCATATGAGATTGGTAAATGGTACAGTACAATTGTAGGGAAACAAACTACACATATTTATCAATCTTTTCCAAAACTCATCATTTGAATGCTCACAGTAAAAACTCGGAAGCAGTTTCCACTGTGAATGGAAGTTCCTTTAATCAAAACTGTGATACGGAAGTATCACAATGAAGCTGGAAATAAATAAAGAACGGATTGATTTTCATTGTAAATCGTTTACAAATTGAATATTTTCATTAGGTATCTTTTATCTTTACAAGAATTCTCATTGTCTTCTCCTTTCTCTTAATCGTAAATCAGTTATTCCGAATCATCAGAACAACTAGGCAAATTCCAATCATCCATTTCACCGATTAAACGTATCGGTGCTTTTACATTGAATAAAGATGATGGTGTTGGCGGTAATGCCATACAACTACGTCGATGTTGACGTAAATGTTCGCTATTGACAATATTTCCGAACTCCATGAAATGTTGTTGTTTTTGTTGTATCTACATTGAAAGTAAACAAAAAATGAGAAAAGGAGTTATAGCTAGTGTCCACTTATCAAAGAAAACGCAAAACTTACAATCATGAGAGAAGTTCATTCATCAGGTGGGTTAAAAATCCAAAACTACAGCTTATACTCTTCAAAATAACAAAACGTTACAAGGCTATTCCAATCAACCAATAAAGAGGACACTTCATTGAGATGTTGCCTGCCTCGAACCGAAATGGTCTAATACCGTGACTTTCATTGTCTTCCTAAGTAATTTCATGGGGAAACAATTTTGTTAATTGTGATCATTACGGCGTTTTCTAGTTACAACGGTTTACGAAGTTCCTTCTCATATATTACAGGATATGTGACAGCTAAACAGATCGGACAACGAGAAGACCACAACACTTCAACATTATTACCCCAAACACAAAAGAATACAAGACTTTCATTTAATTTTCTCTCAGTGAATTGTACATAGAAATTAAACATCCTCCTGATAAATTTAAGAAGAGTCTATTCACAAGATATTATCTAGGAGTGACCAGTAATGAATTAATCTGTCAACAAATAATTCGAGTACGGTTTATTGCCTATAACTATGTGCTGTTATTGAGGTGGCATAATGATATTAATCACTTCCCTTGCTCACTTGATATGTGACCTTGTCTTTACTGATCATTTTCCCACTGACATTTTGAACTCAGTTAATTCCAATCTACCTACTAATTATTATGTGACATGAATTTCAGACTGTTATGAGATGCAGTATCTGAAAGCTGATGTTAGTTTGAAGTCTTCTTACAAACCAACCCAACCGACTTACTCGAATGAAAAGACTGAGAGAGAAAACAGATTTTATTGATAGAACAGCATCGAGGACGTATTTATACTCATTTATACATATATGATTCATAGAACACCAAGGCCTTAGTGATGTATGTCTTATTCCTTAAAAATACATGTAATTTCTCAGAGAGTCACATGCACTTATCGTTTGGCAAGTGTCTAATTAGCCCAATGTGTCACCAATATTAAAAACGTGTCTGCTTTTGTTCTTGTTTTATTTCGACGCTTCCTCAGTCATATCGTCGTCTATAGTTGTGTTGTTATAGATGTATTCACATTAATCACTGTAAGTGAAAACATATTGTGACATTTAACAACTATCTTGTATTTGTATAGACAGTCGGAAAGGCAGTTCACTTTGTTCGATGTTGTTTATCTTATAGATGCTGTAATTTGTAAATAGTTCTTGGTATCTATTCCCTTATCATTATGAACTTTGAATCGGATATTATTAACTGTGAAGATGGTTTAGACTTTTGAGCAATGTCAAATGGACTTAATAATCTTATTCTCATTTCTCTACACCATCATCTCAAAACAAAGCATCGCATTCGATTTGAATAAAACTAGACAAGTTGAAGAAAGTGACAAGGAAAACGAAAATCTAACAGTTTTAATTAGAATGAATGCTTCTAAAGTACACGATCTAGATAGAACAAAACATAATTGGATTATACATGAAAGGCATACAAATTTCCTTCAGTTTATTGTATACTATGCGTTTTACAAAATAGTTCATCTTATGTTAACACCATCACTAGCAAGTTTAACTAATTTGAATAACATAAAAAGTATATCACTGTGCCACATGACATACGCATTTAGGTAGACCGGATTCATATATTTTGGTAAATACTGCTTTGTTTTTCCGTGCTCTGTGTTTTCGTTTTATTTTCTCTAGTTATAGATAATTATCATTTATTCGATCTGGCACACGAATTGACCTTAATTACTCCGTTAATAAATCAACAGGCTGTCCATTTAGGTAATAGTAAAAATTCCCGACTGATGCATTGGATCAATGTAATACATGTACTACCTAAACAATTACTGAACTTGTATACTTAAAACGTTCTTCTATCACTTGTTTGTTCTGTACATCTAATGTTCCTCTTTATATCGAAGTGATCACACCCGTACACTTGCGTGAATTCTGTAATTATTATTTTCAGAATATAAATTATTATTATTATTATTATTGAAAATACAAAAATATGCGTTAGACTACTTATCGATTTAATAAATAACAGTCATAATCATGAAAGTTGACATAATATTAGGCTACATGTAGTGAACGAAGAATTCAAGTGGAGCAAACCAATTTATTGTTTTATGCGAAATTAACGAGTGCCTTTTTATAATATGAAAACCATACATCAAACAAAATACTTGCGCAACTCCCTTTATTTGTCTTCCTCATGATTCATGATTCTTTCTATTCTATTGCTGTTACAATCGCTTTCTATTTACATGCATGTTCGCTTCAATTCGATCTTCTCAATCTTCTACTACCAAGCATTGCACTTCTGATTAGTTTTACATACTGCCACATGAACTCTATTTGACTGAACAATTAACTTTAATTCTCACCAACGTCAATTTACGAATTAATCAAGATCATCATCATCATCATCATCGATGATAATAAGGATAAAGGATACTTTCATTGGAACAACTAAATGGTTTGCTTGTATACACTGACAAAACTGTTATCTCATGAAATTTGTTGTACATACGGATTTTGAAAGCCGATCCACTGAATGTTTTTCCTAATATAATACCTGAACTGATTAGTTGTGGATTACACTAAATAGATAACTACAGTTACATTAATTCAGTTTTTGTATAGGTTGTTTGAATCTTCCCATTAATGCTGAGAACTGCGATTGATCTATCTGTCTTATCGGCATCTGTTCATCCTGTTTGTGAGGATATCCTCAATATTGTCAGTAAGTTAAAAGCATGATAAGTAGAGATGGATGGTGTCTAAAAGTGTAATTCATTACACACGTTCCGTCCGTTCATGGGTCTCGGCAGCCGAATGAACTAATTACAAAGTAATAAGCGACATCTTTCTATTAACTTAAATTAGTCAGGTTATTGGCTAGGTTAACTCTAACAACCTGTTTGTCACAGAGTATATTTGCTAGGTAAGGTATTATAGAACATTTATACTTTTCCTTGCGTGCAAGGATTTTAATGTAATTACGTCTCGTTCTACCAGAAGATATACAAGGAGAAAGATAAGAATGAAGGGGATGGTTAGTATCTGATAAAATGACACCTGCCAGGAGTTTGCATGATTTTAAATGTCTATCCACAACCATATTAATTATGACCTCGAAAGATTCACCACACGTCTTACTAACTGCCTTTAGCACTCTTCGCAATACAGCAAAGTCTTTTCTCAAAAGCCCGGGAAAGAATAATGGAGAACAGTAAAGAATAATAGGTAACATGCGAGAATTGACAAATTGTAAGAGTAAATGACGAGTAATTCCAAGGGTATGTAATCTCTTTATGTAGTAGGTCAGACGGAAAACCTTCTTTGATAACGATAAAACGTGGGAAGACCAAGAGAAATCAGAGGAAAAGGCGACACCAAGATAATTGACCTTCGACACTGAGTTTATCAAAGAGTCTCCGATGGTACAAGCACTATGGGATCTCAAAATAGTGTTTATATTCCGTTCATGTCTCATACTAAAGTTAACAGCTTGACATTTAGATGGATTAAGTATGAGACCATTACCAACAGACCAACAATCAATACGAGACAAAAACTCATTCATTTCTATGGGATGTAAAGAGGAAGATATAGGCATACATACAGTGAGATCATCCGCATACTTCACAAAAGTGTTTTCTGTGGAAGATGGCAGGTCATGCAGAAAAAAAGAGAATAGAAGAGGTGAAAGAACAGCTCCTTGTGGTACACCTTCCTGAGACAGTAGAGAATCTGAACTCTTTCCTCCAAACACAGTGTACTGTTCCCTTCCAGAGAGGTAGGAACATAGCCAGTTGGTTATCCAGCTGTCAGTGTTGACGCTGATTAACTTGTTAAGTAAACGTTGTCTTGGTATAGAGTCAAAAGCTGAAGTGTAGTCTAGAAAAGCACATCGAACATACTTCTTACCCTTTTCTAAGTTGAACACTATGTTGTGATGCAGAACTGCAACAACATCTAAATTGCTTCTTTTGCGCCTGTATGCAAACTGGTATGGGTCAGTGTGCCCTTTTATCGCAGGCTGAAGTGGAAGTATTAATAATTTTTCCATGGTTTTGAGGAAAGGTGAAGTTATTGCAATAGGTCTAAATTTTACATTCTTATCACCAAATGCTTTCTTGGGTACAGGAATTATCTTCATCTTTCTCCACATTTTCGGTATGAGATTAGATGAGAAGGATCTGTTAAATATAGTTGTGAACGGATGACACAGAACGTCAGCACATTTTCTAAAAAGGATGTTTGGGATACCATCAGGACCCAAACATCGAGATGAATTAAGCGACTGGAGACATCCCCGTACATCAGTTTCAGTGAAAGCAGGAACACAGCTATTTTTTAAACCCGTGGATAGAGGGAGCATCACATCAGATGACTGACGTACAAAAGACTTATTTAAGTCACAAACATTCAGCTGGCAATGGCTTCTAAACTTTCTGTCACCTGTAAGTTCTTTAAAGAATTTCCACATACTTGGAGAGTTTTTGCAATATAAGAGCTTGTAGTGACTCACGTTTATCACGAAAACACGACTGGTTTAATAAAAACAATTATTATTATAACCAACTGTACCAGTGTTTGTTTTAATGTGCTTTTGTTTAACTGTGCTAATTATAGCCATTTTGTGCTTCCATTACCTTCCATTATTGTTGTTCCGCGGTTTTTGGTACTGTTCGCACGTACTCCTGTCTTCTGCTTCCACTTGTACCACTTCTTGGCACGATCTCGGTATTCGTTCAATACCACGAGATCGCCAACGAAATAAATCTGGTTACGTTCGATCCTCGCCTTCTGATTTATCTGGCACGTGTTTCTTGGTAGCGGTGTTCACAGTTAATCTCAACTCGACACCACGCTACAATTGGTGATCCCAAAGTTTGGAACCCGCCTCAACCTCGGGTCAAATCTTCCAAAGAAGTCAATTTGGTGAGTCTATTATTTATCTATCCACGTCTGTCGTATATTTTCATATTAATTTTTAATATATAATATACACGACATGACGGATAGCGAGAAGAAT